ATTTTTTTTTTTTATTCTTACACCCGACTTTCTTCATTTTACCTTTCAAGTTGCTGAGGTTTGCACGTAAGCGCCGCAAACCCGAGCGGGATCGTCTCCCGCAAAGGCTCCGGCGATCGTCAATCCCGAGCGGAGCGGGAGAGAGCACCGAATTGCCGCTGGAATTTGTTTTAAGTGATATAATTAAAGGTTGTCCCCTCAGTGAAATGATTTCCCTTTTGTTAGGCCTTCGACGTGTTTTGGCATTCTCCCGCTTTTGTCTTTTTCTGCTTTTTGTAAGGAAAATCCACATGAGGTGTTTAAACAATGCAGTGAGAGTGGCTGCGAGGTTCGGCACGGCCGGTCCCGGGTTTTGGGATGGGATAAAGAGCAGTGCCAGTGGGACTCGAGAGGGAATCTCTTTCTTCCAGCAAGTTGACTGACTGTTCAGTAGTCTTTGTGCATGTGTCTTGAAATACTCTCTTTAAACGTTGGAAATCCACGGGGAAATCCCTTGGGTTAGCATTAATCTGCATAACTCAGCTTTTTTGAACCTGGTAAAATAAAGGGGGCACTTCTGTTGCGATCTGCGGCGAACGCTTGGCTTTCATGAAAAGAAAAAGCGGGGTACGGAATGGAAGGTGTGTTATTCGGGTGAAATGGATTGTTGCGTTTTAAATGGCCTTGAGCAGATGAATGGGCCCGTTGGCTTGAGCCGGACAAAGAATCGGGACGTGTGTCCAATAACGCAGGGCACGAGATGGGGATTTCAAAGAATCCAGCCATTGTGTAGGGAGCCGGAGCAGCCCCAGCACCGCGGTTCGGTTGGTTTCGGGAACTCTCTTCGACTCGGGTGGTGTTTTTAAGTGCTGTTTGCTGACCGGTGGGCTAGCTTTGAAGGGTCAGAACAATGTGTAAGCGATGTGACAGGACTTTTGTTCAAACAGGAGCGTTGTTGGATGTGCGGGACTATTTTGTCTGTAGGCATTTCATTCACGAGCGCAGCATACTTCCTTTGAATCCTAGTTTGCGGATTTCAGAGAGGAGTAGAGGCAGAAGCTTGGCCATTCAATAAAATACATTTTTTTTTTAATTATTATTTATTTTTTCCTTGGCAAGTGCTCTCTGCCATCATGTCAGTTGCTATGGCTTCCTCTATAAACCAGAAATCTTATGGTATAAATAGATTTTCTTCATTTTATCCCTCATGAGATACAACTTGCTTTAAGGGGTTCCTGTACAGGATCACGCAGTGTTTCTTCTGATTCTTGTCAGAAGTACTCCTGTGGCTTTTTGTGTGTGCATCTCACAAGGGTTTACATAAACCATTTTTCCTACTTTTAAAGGAATCATAATGTGAAGGTGAATCTCGCGCTTCCCCCTCCCCAGCTGCAGTCAAGTGCAGGGGGGCAAGAGAGATTCTGTGTTTTGGGGTCTCAATGTTTTGAGAGGACTTGGCTTGTTAAATTGAACTTTACACACCAGCAATTCCTGCATCTTCAGAAGAGTCACACAGGCAATTTCCAAGTGTGCAGTTTCATTTGCATAATAGGAGCAATTTGTTGCCATCCACAGCTCTTCCCTGGAAGTGCAGCCGCCGAAGATTAAAATACCTTGCACCCAACATTGTGTAGAACAAGAGTTTTCCGAGACTTGTGTGCTCGGAGCGCTGCGTGCTGAGGATGAGCAGGGAGGCAGACCGAGCCGGAAACTCTTCCGAGCGGACAGTGGCTCTGGTGCGTGCTGCCCAAAGCTTTGTCAGCCTGTGAAGGTGTGCAGCAGCCTTGCTGGGCAGCGTTGCCGAATGCCTCTGCTGCCACGTCTATGAACGTGCCTCTTGGAAAGCCGTTTCCATCAGTGCGGGTTTTGTTCCTTCAGAAATACGTGGTTTTTCTTGGACAGTGAGCCCTTTGATGCAGGTAGCCTATCTTTGTGTGTGTGTGTAGAGCGCTAGCACTTCTGGTGTTACTGGAACTTAGTAGTAAACAGTGAAGTTGTTACGTTTTTATCTTGAGATTAATGTAACCGTATCTCCTTTGTTTAAACTATTCTCATGAATGAGCGTTTATTTTAGAAAATACATAGCACGTGTCTTACAGAATACATGGTTGCGCTGGATTTGTGTGGCAAAAACGTTAAATTTCCATGGCTAAGAGGGCAGTTCTACTTTTTTTAACAGTACTTACAATTTTTTCTTTCAGTGTCTTTTAAAAAATCCTCTGAGATAAATGTATCTTAATGAATTGTGAAAGGTACAGGATTGGGTTTTCTCTTTCAAGATTGAATGGGTATGTGTAGATTCTAAATGGGTTCTCAAGAAGAGAGAGGCAAAAACTGTTGTGCCCTCAATCAGCTTTAGAAAAATAATGGAAATGCTCTTGTTTTATAAAAATCGGTTTTATTAAATGAAAGAAAATGCAGACATTTACTAAAAGACAAGTAAAGGGCAGGAGGCAAGTAGGACGTCTTGGGAGGCAGTGAAATAATTGGCATGGGTGTCTAGCACTGCTGGGCTTTGGGACAACTCTGCGAACATTTAAGGATGGAGCTATGGTGTGGTTGATGGAGATAGGTACCCTGATACAGAGAATGTCCCAGGAATGAGGAAATCTCATTGTGTTGCCTTTGTCTTTGAATTGCAGCGTCTTTGCAGAAGTCATTTGACCTTTTTCTGACCCATCAAAGCCGTAAGCAAGGAATAGTGATAGCACCTTATGAAGAAGAGGTGAACATGGACAACTGATTAAAGTACTTACAGAACGTGCTAAATATTTATTCTGGCAGGGAATTGGCTGTCGAGCCAGACATGACTTGGGATGTAGCTTAAAACAAAGCATGTTGTGTAAAAGCTGAGGAGCAAAGCCACCGTGGGCAGCGAGATCACGTTACCTAGTACCGTTGGTTGGGATCGCTAGCTGCGGCTGGTTAGAGTAGAATTTCTAGACAAAGCTGCTGTAGCTTTTCTGTTCACCACCTCCATTCGGACTCGCTAAAATATTTTTGTGTGGTACGTAATGCTCTGAGATTGAGCTTCTACAGGTTTTTCTCCTCGTGCTTCCTTCTTAAAATAGGCTTTCACTCTGAAAAGTAGTTGTGACATAGAACATCATGTCTTTGGAAAAGACTGTTTGCTACTACCAGATTGCCACCCTAGTTTGGTCCGGCTACACTGGCTGTGTTTGGTTTCCTGCTAAGATTGTAGCTCATGTAGTGGCAGTTGAAGTAAAAAATACCCAGCGTATGCGCAGGAACTGCCCTGAAGTACCGTAGTGGCCCAAATATGCTGTTACCCTGCTTGAATTACGATAGTTGGGGTTTTTTTCTGGCTCGTGATTATTTCTTTTTGAGCCAGGATATGCTTTCTGACTTCAGTGGAAGTTGGACGTGTGTTAAAGGTAGAGTTTTGTCATGCATAAGCCACGTTTCTCTTTGCTGTAAGAGAGGGTGCTTGTCGCAATGTGAACGTAGCAGAACTTGCTTAAAAACATGCTGGCCTCTGTAAGTTAAAGGGGGCTCTCATAACGTGCCATATTTAGATAAACTCAGAGGAGAGGTGTCCTCAGCCATTAGTCATTTGTGCTACATGGTGTTTTATTGTATTTGCAGCGTGGTCAGGAACACCATGCGTATCTGGGGCTACTTCACCTTAGTTGCTAGACAAGTACCTCCATGGCGATAGGCACGCTCTGGAAAGCAAGCCTACGTTTCAAAAAAATCTTTTTTTTGTGCATCTTACAGCACTTTTTGTGTATAATAATGGCATTTTCTTTCCCATTCCCCTTTCTCCTTTGCTTGATCCCACAGGGAGGTCATAATTCTGTGATTTTCACCAAACTCTGTTGCAATGCAAGTGAGTGTGATGTGATAAATTCAGCATTATGACGTCACTTCGTGATCATCAACAGAAGATGGGGTATGTGGGAGCAAATCCTCGTGTAAATACAGATCACTATGATAAATGATAGTCACAGTAAAAAGCCAAACAAATGTGAAAGCCTTTTCTTGAATGGTAATATATTGGCAGTAAAGGCTTTCTGTTTCTTTGCCATTAAATGTTCCTAGCACTCATTGCTGCTGCAGAAGCTGCCTTGACACTTTATGTATAACTGTAATATACACTGTTGTGTTTGCTCACAGGTATATTACTTTTATACGTGGAATTTGATATTCATCTTTGGAGCTCTAGCGTTAATATACAAAATACAAATTTATTGAAGAGTCTTGGGCTATTTAGAATGGGGAATTGAGCATATAATTATGTAAGTTCTAGGATATTAGTATGCCTCAGGCATAAGCACTAAAGAAGTGTTGATACTAATGCTTACTCTATGTATCCTTGGCCGTCCTTTAAATGCTGTGCAGATACAGAATTTAAAAATGCTTTAACACAATTCCAGATAAATGTAAGGGTTTGCTTCTGCTGCATTGATTAGTTTCTGAATTTACTATAACTAAACTATTTAAGAAACTTTTCAGTGTAGAAGATTAAAAGAAAAAATACTATTTTATCTATTTTAAGTTTTGCCATTTTCCAGTGTTCATTCATGGAGGAACAAGAGAGGTTTGAAAACAGAAAAAAATGGTCTTTTTTAAAGCTATGGAGTTTGTCAGCTAGACACGGGCAAGTAAAGTTGATAACTGACGCATTTTTAGCCTGATTAACTGAGGTTGATGGTGTTCCATCAACCGCCTTTTCGAATCCACCAGCCAATATAGAGGTCAACCTATATAGTATAACAGGGGGTGGTGCAATAAAAAATATTGCCTAGCGATCGCTTAACAAAAGTGGAATAGAGTTACAGGGGTGGAATTCTGGTCAGGGTCTCAGGGTGCGTGGGTTCACCAGCAGATCCATTCTACAGACAGAAAATCAGGTGGAGAAACTACTTAAGGTTTCACAACAGCATGGGCGCAAGAGTTCATTAATTCCCTGTTCCTACTCGGGCATTTAGTCGGTGGGAATATTTTGTAGTTTGTGCAGCATTTAGTAAACGTATTGCTATGGGCAGCAACAGTAAATTGTCAATTATAACTAAATGAGAAGGGAAGTCCCTGATCAGCAGGTTGGGAGGGTGTCTTTGCACAAAAGATAAAAAGTGCATGTTCAGAGTAGAACTGGTTTTGGGGGTGTGGGAGGTTTTTTTTTGGTTGGTTGGGTTGGGTTTTGGCTTTTGTTTTGAAATGGAAAGGCAGTAAGTATTACAGATAACATTCAAAGCTTTATTTGCAATACACATTTTAAATCCTGAAGTTATTTTACCCTGTTGATCTTAAATGTCTGAAAGTAATTACGTTTCTTTGTTAACAAATTTGTGTTTGTGCTGCCAATGATTTTCTTAAGTTTTAGGGGAGGTTGTCATCTTTTTTCTTATTAATACTTCTGTGGTCTTAAACCTTCCATACGGTAAATGCTTACACATGTAAAATACTTGAATAATAGCAGTGTGATGTTGAGTTTTCTTTTTAGCCATGTTTGCAGGACTGGGATGTTGGTGTACTTCCATCACAAAGTATCCTTATTCCCGTTGTTGTCTGAATTACTGTGTTTGAATTCAGTAAAAAAAATCCCTGTAGCTGAGGGTTATCAAAACTTAAAGTGGTACTTAAGAAGCTCAAAAGAATTAAAATGTCAGGGCTAATTTTAATACTAGAAGGAAAAAGTTACTAATATAGGTTTCCTCCTGTGTTCTACAGTCTGTCCAGTGAAGATGCTGTGTGAGGCTGCTTTGAGATGCTAACAGGTATCTTGAACTTTTGGTTTTCCAGTGCAGCATCTCTAAGTAATATTTTGCTGTAGGAAAAGACTAAAATCTTGATTTTTTTTTTTTTTTTTTGAAAGCATTTATTCACCTCTCCCCACACCCAAAACAAAACCCCAGCTGGTTTTATTTCCATAATTTCAAAGGTTTTCCTAAGTAGAAGTAAGTTTAGTTTGTCTTGTATCCTTAAAAAAAATAAATTCTATCTCATGATCATCTCTTCACAATGAAGTATGTTCTCATTATTGACATGCCCTCATCTCCACTGTCATTTTATCACATCTAGCAGTAGAGCTCCAAATTAGCATAAAATTGGGTTTTGACATACTTTAGCCATCTAGCGTACCCAAGCAGATGTATCTAAACGCATCGAGGAAAAACTGTGCTCCAGGAACAGCAGTGGGAGAGAAATTAATCTGGAATGGTTTTGTACTTTAATTAAAACGTCCTTGTGGACAGATCCAAAACTTACCAAATTGCCATATATAGCTTTTTTTTTTTTTTTTTTTTTTAAAAACAGGAAAGTACCTCCTCTAAAGGGAAAACAAATAAGATTGGCTTTAGTAGCTAAAACACATAGTCAGGAGGATGTTTGTGGCATTTGTACAATGTGGCTGCTTTTGGTTCTGGAAGCCCTTTCTAAAAATGGAGCTATCACATACGTATTTGGAGTCACATCCAGCTTCTCCCATCCTGCAAAGAACATTTTTAAACATTTTTTTAAATCTATGACCGGATCCCAAATCTATTACTTAAATGTGTTTTTTAAAAAAGAGGAATGCTTGAGATCTCATGCCAAATTAATTTCAGTTGTTGCTGAATATTTAATGGCATTGGTCTTTGTTGTTAACTTTTAATCGATCCATTTGCAGAGCTATATTACGAACCCAGGAACCAGCAGTGGTAATCTGTGACCTGAAAACTGATCACAGAAATGTGATGAGCTTTCTCTGGCATTGTGGACCTTCCTTTAATATTCTGATGTAAAGAGCTCAAGGAATTCATCCCTTAACTTCAGCATCCTTTCCATCTCCGCACTCTGCCTGACCCCCTAATGTAGTGATGCCCTCCAGCCAGGTTTCCTTCACAATTTGTCAGTGTCACGACTTCATGGCTGGCTGGCAGGGGTCTGCACAGAGTGCTGTAGGTTATGCTTTTTCCCTCTCTCATAGCCTTCTCAGCCTTTGCTGTCCAAGAGAGCTAGGCTCTCCAGAGTCCGAATTCTGCACCACGGCACATATTTCTACCAATAAGGCTGTTGTTTCTAAGGCTAGAATTTCGGAGCTGTCTGACAGGAGTGTTGAGTGAATGTTAAATTGCTAGCAGCAAATTTCTGCCCAAAAATAAACCTCAGATGGTCAAAAAGCATTTAGATTTCTAATATCATTGAACAGCTTCATGACAATCAAACCACACTGGTCTGTCTAAAACCTCTTCTGATCTCTAGAAGCTTAGGTGAAAATCATAGGCATTAAATCTGCATTTTCAGTAGCTGTTCTTCTTAACTGTATCTTTAATCCAGATCTTATTGCTGCTACTACAGCTACTCGCCTAGTCAAGTAACAGCCCTGAGAAATCTGGAGGTTAGCAGTGCTCTAGCAAGTTTGTGAAATGCAAGGAACAATTTGCACGTTGCAGTGCTAAAGACGATGTAATAGAGATCATCCTACTTAATAGGCTATTTAAATCCTTGACAACTTACAGTAGTAGATCACTTTCTTCTGAATCCAAAGTTTACCTTTAACTTCTCCTGCATTGTAATTTTATAGGGAGAAGAAGTGGGTGACAGTTGGCGACACATCCCTAAGGATTTACAAATGGGTGCCAGTAACAGAGCCTAAAGTCGATGATGTAAGTATCCTGCAGATGTCTTGCTTTTTTCAAGATGTAGACACTCGTGTTTAGGGAAAGTCAAAAGAAATATGCTCGCTATTCTTTGAGCCTTTAAGCTAAGACTGGTGTGGGTCTTGCAAGCATTCGCATAGAAGAGCTCTAGGGAAGTGCTGATATGTACAGAAAGTGATGTTGATGGTTCAGTGGGTGGCAGTCTTCCCGGAGTCAACTTGGATCAGTTCTCAGATAACTGTTCAACATTCGGCTTGAAGCTGATTTTTGAAACCTTTCCTTAACATAATAATTGGGAGGCGGGGAGGGAAAGCTAAGACATCGATTGCTTTTCCCTTCTTTCTACCTGATGCTTTAAAGGAAAGTAGCTGGTTTGGAACTGCGTGGAGAATGCATTCTATCTGTGCATCGCTGCTGTTTTGCTCAAAAATAGGTGCAAAACACTAAAATAAGGGTAGGAAAATCCGGTGGAACCGAGATTCCTTGTATTAAGGTGTCCAGCCCCAGCAATACAACATGCTTCTATTGTAATGTGTGTTTTCTCTTGATACATGATCTGTGTAATGCATCGCGTTTACATTCTTAGTGTGCACTGTTTGTGTGCCATGATACAATCATGTGGCATAAAAATAAGTGTAAAAATCAAAGTTGATAGGGCTTACAAGTTGTTTTTAAAAATGAACATTGCTCTCATTTTATAAATTGACATATTGTTATAGAGAGAAAACCGATCCGTGGTACCACAGTAAATCAATGATACAATAGAATATATATCTTAAATCTGGTACTCCTTTCTTGGGTTGTCATGTGCTTTTACTTTATTTAAAATATGAGTTAAGACTTGTCTGGAAGAAAACTACTATGTTAATAAATGTGTAAAACGATGGCTTTTAGACAAGACAGTGTCATGATCTTGTCTTACGCAAAGTCCATATTCAAGACCTATGTTTAATTAGCGTTGTTTTAACAGAATTTGTTTCTTTCTGTACCTTTGGTTGTACCACAGATTTCCGTGACTCAGTTGTGGGAAGCCTCTTGTATTCTCCCAGTGCTTGAGCAGCATCTCTGTGAAGTAACCCCTTGTCAGTTGGAAAACCTTTCTTTCTTTCTTTACAGAAACTCATTCGTTCATTCTAGTTGTCAAATGTTTGGTCTTGATTTTATTATTTATAGTACATAGGGGGGAAAAGCTGTGCTAGCTATGTGAGGGGTGTGAGAGAGATTTAGGATATTTAGGCTCACGGCTTCTGAAAGTTGTTTTCCCACAGTTAAGGTATGCCTGCACAGTGCGTACCATGGAACTTTGAAATAGAATTTCTAGTGAGATTCTGGATGAATTTTTGAGGTGACTGGTACCTGAAGTCAGATTCTCTGTTAAGAAGAAAGAGACCGTTACATAAACTCTATGTGCATAATTTAATTGTATTTTTTGAGCCATCACCTTTAGGTTTTGGCTCTAGATTTGCTGAAATTGGGGCACTTGTTCGAGTTCAGTTACTTTAGCGTCCTGCAGTCACATTCTGTTCATTACAAGTAAAGGCAGTTGTGCAGCTGCAGTTGTTGCAGGCTTGATGTCTTAAGGTTTCTGTCTTTTTGTTCTGGAACTTCTCACAATTAAAACAAGTGCATATATTTAAAAAAATAAATATCAGGTAGGGGTCACGTTGGCTATTTATTTTTGTTGTGGACATCTGTTTCTATCCGATTTCATCCACCTGTGGAGGAGCAGACAGTATACTTGCTTTTAACTAGAATAGGAGAATGGGATCTTTCTTTTTTACTGCTTCATGTTTCAAATGGAAGTTGTCTTTGATTTTAGTGAACACAGATTAGATTACTTCCTCCCCCCATGTTGTTCCTAAGACACTTTGACATTTCTGTGAACTAGAATTAGCTAGGCTCTTTTCTCCTACTAGTTTTGGAAGGCTGTTGTAGAACTCACCACTTTGACGGTTAAACCTTTTTAAAAAAAACTTTTCAGCTTAAATTGCTTACAGTCACCTTTCAATATCTCTCGTGTGGAAAAAGTGTCCTTTTTACCATCAAAAAAACCCCCAACCAAACCTGAGAGAGATTGTGTCCTCTCTGAACTTTCATTTTGCAAAGATAAAGAAGTCCATGTGCTTTCACCTCTGTTCAACATATTAGAGAATAAAATCTGGCTTCTCTGAAGTAAAATTACAGTTTAAAAATTAGCCTAATATTCTATTTAAAATAGAGGGAAAAGTCCTTCTAGATAGCGAATGTTGAATTTCGTCTGCAGTCTTAGACAATATTTGATTGTGGTTTTAGTTCCTTCCCTTGTTGGAGGACACTGTCTTCTCCGAATGGATGGGTTGCCGAGCGCTCTTCCTAGAGTCAGGCTTTTAATTGTCTTCTCGGCAGGCACGCAGGATCCTCCAAAAGCAGTGCAGCTGGCTCTTTCTCCTATGAGACTGATTACGTCACCTCTTAATTGAAAATGCTGCATCCCTTAGCAGGCGCAGATTTTCCACGTGATGGATGCCACTGTCTCTTCCTTTGTTTTAATGCTCGCAGTCCATACTGTTGTTCGGTCACAAGCATGTTGTGACCTATTGTTCATGTAGGACTGTCTTGCTTATGCTCTTTGTTTTAGGCCAATCTGATTTTTCTTAATCCATCTTTTAGTTTTAATGAAGAAACAGCATTAGTTGTAGAGAAGGAGGAGGTCTCTGCAGTGTTGGTCATTGAGAAAGAGGTAAAAAGCTGTCTCTTTAGTGTTAAAACTCTAGATTTGTCATCATTCCTGTTGTGTGTGCATGCATATTGTCTAGGTGTATTCTACAAGCTTTCTGATGCTAAAGGAAGAATATATTGAGTTTTGTAGCAGTGTTTTGATATGCCTAAACCATACAGTGAGCAGAGTTACAAGCTCAGAAATCGAGTAGTTTCATGAATCTTAGCCCTGCCTCTGATCAGCGATGCTCTTCCCTTTTCCCCATGTAGCAGCATCTTTTGACCTTGCTTTTGTAGCTCTTTGGACTGAGTACAACGTTAGCAGCCAGCACCTTCCAAGTTCTCCAACTCAGTTTCAGTTGTGCCTCAGATTCCCTATTTGTAGAATGAGGGGTATTATTCAGAACTTCTGTACTTTTTACAAAAACTGTGCAGTTGTTTCAAGATGGAAAACATGTTTAAGTGTTAACCTTTGCTAGAATTTCTGGATACAAACCTATATATCCTAGTGTTTTGTGTCATGAAGTACACAATTAGAAAAACAGCCCTGCAGTTATTAGGACTAATGCATTATTGATAATGTCAGTTATTACACTGGCTTTATTTCTCACTTGAAATTGAGAGATACTTACAGAAGTAATGAGTAGGAAGTGGTTTATATTACAACATGGATTTATCTTCATGGTGATAGTCTCATTTGTTTGTGGTACCTTTTGTTTTTCAGAAAAATAAGAATAAGAAAAAAGGCAAAGATGAAAAATGTGGCTCTGAAGTGACCACTCCAGAGAACAGCTCCTCTCCAGGGATGATGGACATGCACGGTGAGTGGGAGAAGGTCAGCCCCAATTACCCTGCTATGAAAGTGTAACCTAACAGCGTCAAATTCTCTGTTGCTCAGATGCATGGATGACATGGTTGAGTCAAAGTGAAAACAGCATCAGATACTCATTTGGTACCTTGGACTTCTCTTCTGTGGATGTACTAGCAGTTGGTTAAATGCCATTTTTATTTGGGCTGTGTGCGGGGAAACAGGAATTGTTAGTGGAGCTAATTATGAAAATAAAAACAAATATCTACCGTTCAAAATACTACACTCAGGTGAGGTAGTAACTCTGTTGAATTATCTGCTTGAAGAACGAAAAGGCCCCCAAAGCCTCAGTGGCACCTTCTATTTGTGCAGGTTTTGTACTTTTTAACTCTATAGGTGAGTCAGGTCAAAAGAATTCTGTAACGGCCAAGAAAGCAAGCGGTGGTTCTGTGGTGTCTTCCTTCTGCTTCAGCTTGATGAAATTAACTGGTTAAGAAAATGTTTTGTTGGTTTTTTTCTTGCCAGTCAGGCACTTTTAGGTAACTTCTTTTTTCTTTTAATTTTTTTTTTTTTAAAGTGTGAACTGTTGAGTGTTAACTTGCTATTTATTACAGAGGAGCTTGCGCAGCTCAGCTCTGTTTCAATTTTTTACCTTCTGGGTGTTTGGATAACGATAATGGCTGAGAATGCAGCACTCTTTGAGCTGATAAGAGGATCACTTTTTAGTGGGTTGCAAACTTTTAATTTCAGTTTTATTTGCATTTGTATTGCCTCCTGGTTGTTTAAGTGTTTGCAGTGAGTCTGGTCTTGTAGTTAAAGGATTGAGCAGGGTTTTCACACATCTGGATTAATTTTTCATCTGTTTCAAACTTAGCTTTTTGCCTTGGTCAGATCATTTAATTTCTTAAGTTCTTTTTCTCCAATCCATGAGGTCAATATACTGCTTGCTTTTTCTATCATATATCTCATGTGTTTTTAAGCCATACTGTACAATTTCATGATAAACTTAATCTGATCTGACTTGGAGCTCTCTGAAAAGAGATGGTCCCCTCACCAGCTATGTGTTTCTGAAGTCCTTTGGATGTTATGATTGCGCAGATGCAGGAGGAGGTGGATTGACTTGCTTGCTAGTACTTTAACTAACAGTGTTTTGCTGGGTTAGTTTTCTTCAGGGAGCGGGAGCTTCCCCCTTGCTTACCCATGGTTGTTAGACTGGCTGAAAGATTGCAGGAAGTTGCACCTCACTGCTATCCATAAAGCATTCGCTGAGATACTTAACTGACTGTCATTGGCTTTCACAGGAAGAGGGTACAGGCGGAATATTTCCTGTTCACTACAGAGGTGTAATCTGTGCTGCAGAAAGTTGCTGTGATCCAAGTTTCTGGAGGCTAGAGAATATTCTAGGCAATTATCACTTAGAAACTATTGATATTGGGACTGGATGTTAGATTTTACCTTGATGGGGTGTTGTTTCGTTTTGGTTTTTTTTTTCCATCAAGACACACTTCAAAACTCTGCTCATCTGAACACTGTAGTGATAGGTATTTGTAAATCTGCAGCATGAACGATTAATTAGCCCTGTGTTACATGAACTATCAAATGAGACTGTTGCTTCAGTTGATCTGTTTTACTCCTATTACAAAATTCTGGGCTCTTTTGGAAGAGATCTGAGTAAAACACTCTTGGGTTTATTGTATAATATTAGTTAGAACACCTTTTTTTTGAATTTTTCTGATTTTTAGTAAGTCTAGAAGACTGTATTGCAGCCTAGGCTGCAAGACCAAAAATTGCGGTGGTGTGGAAAGAAGTTAGCTGTAGTGTTAGTCTAAATGCTTGGACTTGATCCCAAAGAAGCTAGACTGTATCACGTGTTCTTAGGGAATAATAAAGAAAAAATATGGAATAATTAAGGTGTGCTTTTGATCTTGTCAAATTAGACTTTGTTTTTAACTCTTTTGTTAACAGATGACAATAGCAACCAGAGCTCAATAGCTGATGCTTCTCCAATAAAACAAGAAAACAGTAATAATTCAAGTCCAGCACCAGAACAGAACTTGGCAACACAAGCAGACGGCACTGAAGTAAAGTCTGACGAAACTCAGGCAGAAGCAAAGGAGCAGCCTGGTTCAGAAGGTAAGCTGAAAAGACCATCTTCAAAGCCAAACAAAAAATGTTACCTGTTAGTGTATCATTTGTTTGCTTATCTGTTTTAAGAACTGAATAATAACTATTTGAAAGAAACAGTTTCTGAATTATGTGAAAATGGGCCATAATCTCTCTGGCCTACCGGTGATCCTTCCGTACAATCGGAAAGGTCAGATTGACATTCAGGGTCTTTCAGAGGGGAAACAAAATACTTGGTTTATTGTTGTCATAATCTCAGTCTTGAAAGAAGAAATCTATTAAAATCACCTTTAAAATGGCTGCTACCACATAATCCTGGAAAGTATTACTTAGTGTAGATCCATGAATGTTATCTGGTGTGAAAGTAAAATAGAGGTGGCATACTTTAAAATTACTTTTTTAATTGTGTAAACTTGTAAGCTTACTTAATGTAAGCTTTCTTTTTTCTTAACCCTGCTAGTTATTTATTCAAAAGTTAGTCCTGAATTCTGTCCTAATTTTCTAAATGTGTTACAGTATTGTACTGCAGTTATGCACAGATTAAAAATACATGTGGGTTAAGCGATTTTTCTGAATCACGCTCTGTAAATGGTATTTTGGGTAATTGAAACATGCTCTGTATTTATATTCTTGGGAAGATAACTTTCTTCATCCTTTTATAACAGATAAAAGTTGTCCTTAACACCATTCTAATGACTTGGTTGCAGAATTCCTCCCATAGCAAAGCAATTAAATTATGCCATCCTAATTTAGTTCTTAGCTCGGTCGATCCACTAACCAGTTTAAATTTAGAGCTTTTATCTTGGCAATACCAGAACGGTTAAGTGTGTTAAATGTTGTCATTGTTAATTGGGTTTAAAATTTGACAACTGATTCGTCACCAAATTGAAATAAATCAGAACGCCATATCCTTCAAAGAAAATCTCAGCTAGCATGTTTGGTCGCCGTAAACGGTACAGATTTACTCCTAGGTCTAATATTGTCTGAACCTGCCTGTGTGAAGTTGTTACATAGCATACATGCTCGCCTGACTAAATTTAGGTTCAGGGAAAATCATACCAAGTTCTCTGGATTAGTTCCAGGAGCAGTTACTGTAAAATGAAAGGGAGAAGTAATGGCAAAACATACATGTTATTAATGTGGGTTTTTTTCTCTCGGTCGGGTTTAGAAATTCATTAAGTAATTATCTATCTACCAAAGTGTTAGGATCAATCAAACCCCTGGAATTGTGACATTGTTCAGCTGGATAGGGTTAATGACCTTGTATGTCTCTCATGTTACAACACTGAAATCAGGGGACAGTTGGGATGATCTGAAACGCCTAATGGGGACTTCTTAAAGAAAACGGGTGCATTCAAAGCATTCTGCTGTGTAAACAAGCCATTGCAGGCATGGGAATGGCTTGGGGCTTGGCAGTTTAAAATAGGGATCCCCTTGCCTAAAGGCCAGCAGCAGCATGAGCGGTAGCTGCCAGTAGCAACTGGAAGAGAACACAGCAGCCACGGGCTGTCGGCTGTGGAAGTGGCTCTTAAGCGTGTTTTTGTCATGGGGCCACGTGCACATCACAGAGTGTGCCTTGGCTCGAGTTGCAGTGTGTGCTCAGACAGACACGACAGAAATTGAAATTCCGTCTGACCCTTGGGACTTGTTTCTTTATCAGTATGAACATGCTTTTCTGGTGAGACATGGAAAGGAAGACTATTCTGTCCGAGTTTGCTGAATGTGATCTTTGAGACTGCTCATCATAGGCGTCACTGTCGAATTCAGTCAGAGAAACTTTCAGAAACACTTGTGATGCTTTCTATACAGTACACCACAAAAACCTCCGTTACTTGCTGGTTATGCCATCTTCATTAACTAAAGTTGTCCAAAAAAATGTTTGATTTGCATTTCTCTTCATCTAGAATGAATGTATGTTTCTTGGGTCAGGGACCCATGGAGAGATCACTTCATAAAACCTGACTCCATGTGTTCTTCTGAGAGTTCATTCAAGTCAAAAAGGATTTTTAAATGAGGTGAAGGAAAGAATGGGTTCCAGTCCTTACACTGTTCTTGATCTGGATACCGAAAGAAATATAACTCACCTTTTACAATCAAAGGGGTTTGGTTTTGGGTGGTTTGTTTTTGTGGTTTTCAGTGGTTTTGGGGTTTTGTGTTTTGTTTTGGTTTAGTTTTTTTGAGTCTCTGCTTCTGGATATACTGTATTAAACTTCCAGGGATCTTTAACCTGTAAAGATGTTCTAAGTGCCCCTATCCCTTCTTTGAGTGAATGGGTGCTTTAACTCTGAGTCCTCTGTAAGTCTTGCTTTGAGAGAGAGAAGGGATTAAAAAAAAAAAAGAAAACAAAACAAAAACAGATATGAAAATTGGAAGCGGGGAAGAGCTATAACAAGCTGGGATACTCCTCCATAAGTATGCACCAGAATTAAAAGTTCTACAGCCTTAATTGTTAAGCTAGTTAGCTGAATTTCTAAATTTTATCTTTAAGATAGTAGTATCAAGCAAAAAAGCGGATTTAAAATATATGGCTGAATTTTGATTCAGAGAACTATTCTCTCTCCTTAGCTATGCAGTTTTGCATCCATGAGTTACCACAATTCAGCCCTTTTTGTAGCTACCTTTTACTTCTGGGTTGAAGCAAGTTTTCTCCCGGTCAGTCCCTTTGCAAAGTTTATGTTGAAACTTGTTTGGAAATAGTGTTGACACCGTTCTGTGTTATGGGGTGTGCAGGAGCTTAGCTCCCTCTAGGGACTGATTCCAGCAATTGTATGCTGCCAGCACCGGGAAGGCAAAGGCCTGGCAGGAGCCAGTGGTTGTGGTCCTGGAGTTTGAGCTTAATTCATTATATTCGTACAGTTGTCATGTATGTTATCATTAAAGGTTACACGCGGGTAAAATTTATGTGTTTGGGATGTTGCTAATGAGGAGACATCCGTAAAGCTTCTGCTGAATGCTTTCATCTGTTTCATTTGTTCATAATTATTTCTTGAAATTTCAGATACCTCTGATGAACAGAATTCACAGTCTTCAATGGAAAATTCCATGAATAGTTCAGAGAAAGCAGAAATTCAGTCCTCTGGAGAAAATGATATAATTACAGAGGCATCTAAAAACTCTCAGGTAACTTTAAGCTCAAAAGCCCAATTACTTGGAATTTGGAAAAGCGTATTTTTACCAAAAAGCAAATGTAAGGAGGCCAGTTGTGTATTTAGATTCATTTTCAGAGGGGAGGACAGTAAAGCAGCTGTAGAGTATTAAATGTACAAGTACATGGTTTTGTGGTTAATTTGATTTTCACTTCTTCCATTTCACATAATTTGAACAGTAAGGCTAGATTGGTGTGACTTACTTTTCAGTTTCCTAAACCAGTCTGTGCTAGTTTTGTAAGGGAATATTAAAATTCCATGTTAGTAATTGCTTGGACCTTACTGGACAGGTCACTTCAGAAGTAAAATACCTTCTATAACAGTAAATGCGTATAGCAGTTAGGAAACTTAGTTTTTGTAGGTTCAGTGGATGAGATGTTTGGATGTTTACTCACTGATATACTGAAAAATTCTGGGTGGGTGGGAGAAAGACATTACCCTTGCAGTTGTCCCCCTCACACCGAGGTCCTCAGGCAGAGCACTGCTCAGTCCATCGGTTTTCCTTGTGGGTGGTTGGCTTGTTTCAGTGCACACCTTGTGCTTTCCAAACCTTGCGTGTTCTGTCCCGTAGAGATTGCTTTGGCTACAGCAGGAGAAAATTCGTGTGCGCTTGGTGTGGGTTGTGCTCGTGTGGAGCTGAGGGAAGTCCGGGTATAACCATGCATCAAGGCTGTTGCTTGGAATATTCACTGTGGTTTTTAGTCTGGAACTAGAATTTTGCCCTTTGTCGGTAGACGACAAGAAATGTAAAGATGTCGAGGTAAGATGTAAGTAGGGGAGTGATTTCAGGAAGCAGATGCACTTGCTCATGCCATTCCTGTATCCAGGGAAGCTTTTTATTTTATAAATGACAACACCAGGGAATTTGTTCATGCTTTTTGTTTGATGTTTATGGCGCCTGAAATTCAGTGCAATGATAACGTGGTTGTTTTTCTTTTCCCCCCTCATTAAGGACTCTGAAGGAGTGCCACCTTCTAAAAAGATGAAAGTAGAGGCTTCCCAACAAAATGTTGAAGAGATTTAGACTATAGATTTTTCTGGTCAGTTTTTATGTAAGGTACATCAGTGGGCTTAATTATAGAACAACCTTACTTAAGCATCTTCTCTTGGATGAGGACAGAACTCCTAACTTTTCAAGTTACCAAGCAAAAATCCAAGAAAGCCTAACAAAGGTTTAACTTCTCAGACACTGAAAACTTTTTCCTGTGAAACAAACATTGAGAACTTTTAAGTTACTGTCTCTGAAATGGTTGGAGTAAACAACTCAGGAGGGGTCTACGCACTGTTTCTAAAGTCAAAATTACAATTATGTTGCTGCTGTATTTTTTTTTTTTTTTTTCATTTCTCTATTTAACATTGTAAGATATTTAAGGATGGTACAGGTCAGGTATTAGCTTTCATGTGAAGTTCATTGTTCTGGCGTGATGTCTGCTTTTGTTTTGTGCCTTGTGTTCTGAAAACAGTGCTAACTTTTAAAAGTTGGTTTGCAACTGTCTCCTTTGTAAAGTGGCCTATGTTTGTATAATGCCATGTAGTAAGGCTTTTTCTTTTTTTCTTTTTTTTTTTTTTTTTTTTTTTTTTCTTTTTTTGTTCGGGGTTTTTGTTTTGTTTTTAATTTTTAAATCCCTGGTGCTTAAACTTTTAAGAAATACAGATCAGGAAGCCATTTTCACTCTTGGAGTCCAAGGAGAAAAAGGAGCTTGATATTTTATTTTAGCAGCTATAGTGGAGATCTTTTATTGAATGCATGGCATTCGCAACTGTAAATTTGGTCTTCTAAATACTTAACTTCATCAGAAGTTAACATGATCTGTTTACCATTTATAGTCCAGATCTGAATATATACTATGACACAGCAGTTAAAATACTTACGTATTAGGTCCAGATCTCTGTACTGGGTACAACTTGCTTTACAGAAAAGTTCCACTATGTACATAAATAGGATCAAAGGGATTGATGCACAGTGAATTTATTTTCAATTGGTCTTTTTTGATATCATGTTTTCACTGAACTGGATGTCACTGTACTGTTTCTTTACGAGATGTTTACTTCCGTGTTCCATGTTAATACTGTATTTGGGATTTCTTTTTTTCTTTCAGCAAGTCTTGTAAACAAGCCTTGTTGTTTCCATAGTCCCTACATCATTGTTGGAAATGTTCCTTCTTTTTCAATTATGTTGAAGTGTGCTCAATGATAAACTTGATTGAAAAGCACAAAGTATGTGCAACTCCCTTCAAATTCGTGGCGTGTAGAAGCGCGGAACCATCGGCATCGGGTCACAAGGGCCCGATCTTACAGCAGGCTCTGTACTTCCAGGGTGAGCTCCCAGTTATAAATACCTGGTGTCGGCGGGAACCGCTTCTTTCTCACTTCAGTACACGCACACGTGCGCGTACGTCCATACATATTGCTGGATCGGGCCCTTAGTCTGTCTTCACTTTGTGTGGGAGATGGAACTTGTAATTTAAAATACGATCTCATGGCTATGAAAATGGTTGCATATAGTTTGTAAGCTAGGAACTGTAAATACTTTTTTAAATGAAAAAAAAAAATTGCTTCCAGTTGATACATTTTCATAATTAGCTCTTCATTAAGCTTATTTATTTCTGAATTCTCCAATAGTGAAAATGGCTTGCGCTTAGACTACTGCATTGCGTTTGCAATTACCACTTTATTATGAAAAAAAAAAAAATATGGGGAAGTAGGGGGGGAGGGAATAGAGGGAGGGAGGAGCGGGGAGCCAATACTGACCTTCCATAAGATGTTTGTAGGATGGAACTCCAAATAACATATGACACTCAGTTCCGGAACTTTTCCTTTATGTTGAAATAAAACTTTTTGGATTTTAACTGAATAAAATTTGATTGGAAATCATTCATGAAAACAGTGTGCTCCCTAATAAGTTTTTGGGATTTCTGGTCTGATCATGAAGTCCATTAACATTCTGAAAATAAGGAAATGAGGAGCCAAAAACTATATTTGCACAATATATGCAATGAAACGGTAGAATTCTCTCTTGAATTGTGTGTATGCCTAAAATGTGGATAACTGGTCAATGACGATTGATTTGTATGTATATTACATTCAGATTTAAGTGATATTTTGTGAGAAGTTCTATTGATATATTAAATGGGCAAATCTAGAAAGATTCAAACTTTAAAATATTTTTGATTTACTAACTTTTTGTTGTTTTTAATGCTAAAACAAAACAAATCTGATGCCACCTTTGACAAGTAGTCATGTTTACTAATCCCTATCTTCAGGTGCATCGCAGCAAGTTTTTAATTTTAATTTTGTGACGTTTCCAAGGGAGTAAATAGACTTTTTGTTTAGAAACTAATTCCTGTACTTTAGGAAGAAATAAAATATATAAATAGCACTAAAAATACCTCAAATTTTTTCATTAGATAGAAGCATTTATTGGCATTATTGACATCGACAGGTTTAATTATAAACTTCCTTTTCTCTCCTGTGGCTTCTGCTCAGAACTGTTCATTGTTCTGTGGCTTACGAGACAAGGCGCCATCACCATATTCCTAGAGGCTTTATTTCTAAAGTAGTAACGCTTTATTTACAGCTTATACAGAATACATTCAAAACTTTTTTCTTTTTTTAAACCAGAGATTCTAGTGACAACAGACAACTGAACAAGCAGATAGATTTGGGTTCCTTAGACCTGTTATTGTCAGTCTCGAAGGGAAGAGACTTTGACATTATCTGGTATGAAGAAATCCAAAATAGTGTATAAGACTGTTATTAGTCTTTTTTTGAAGTGCCTGATAACATTTATGGGCCAACGGATGTGATAAAACACATTTTAATGCCAGAAAGTACAGATGGGACCAAACCAGAACATCAAATTCAAATCGACCTGAGGTTTGAAACCAGATCTAAACCCAGCTTTTTTTGGCTTGGACCTATCTCTACCAGAAACTTGTTTTATGAACTCACTGTAAAAAGGGTTTATTGAAAGCATTGAGACGTGGAGCAGAAGGAGAGATGTAATTTTCTTCAAGATGACTGAAAGTTCTCATACAGCTAATGTTTTAGAAATAGTGCAAATATCAAGAAGTGCTTCCTTGCTACAATGCTGAATGTTGGAGCTTCAGTTACAAATAAATACAAAAAAAAGAAAGAAAAAAAAAAAAAGGAAAAAAAAAAAAAAAAAAGAAACTAGAAGCAGGCAAGTAAATTAGCTGAGTTTGTGGAACACGTGGGAAGGCCTTCCGAATAAGCGATTTACTCAGCCAAACATTTTATAGCAGAACTATTCCTTGGAATTTTTATGCTTGGGAAAGTAGTTGTTAAACATTCCAAAAAGTGCTGGCACTTACAAAACAACAAAAAATAATCAACAAGGCAGTATAAAATATTGGTTTTGGGTGGCTATCTTCATACATAAACATTGTCATGTTTTGGAATGTTCTTTATATCTAAGGGCCTGTTAGAAGGTGTAAAGAATTTTGTTTTCTTCAATACCTAATCGTTTTCCATCTTATGATTTGTGTGTGTGTGTGTTGTACAGCAGTATAATTTTTCACTTATTTATTCCATCGGTAGTTATGGTTTGTACAATGTACAATGGTTTCATTTCAAAAATAAAATAAAAAATCACAACACGAATGCTGTGTGAATAATTTTTATCAAGAAACTTAATCTAATTTTTTTTTTTAAATTTACAATAAATTTCTGTTTTTATAAATGGTATTTTTAAACGTGCATTCTATGGTGTTGTCTCATTTGGTAACGTGAAAAATGATTCATCTTTGAGTAGACCAAAGGTGTCCTGATATTGTAGCAGGACACTGAGCGGGGCGGGCGGGCCTTTGTTGTAACAACAACACACAAATATGGCCAAGGTAATTACAGCAACCTGCAGAGTAACTTGGTAATTTAAGGTGCTCGCTGTTGGCTTGGTACTCAGCTAATGTGTTGTGGCAACTTAAATTGGAGGGAGGAGGGCGTAGTGTGGAGACACGCTCAGGTCTGATGCTAGCAAGGGTAAAACTCCTTGAGAGTTTTGGAAAGGTTCTTTACATTCGAGATGGATATAAAGTGTCCGGCTTACTTCTAGTGTTCTGTGTGCTCTGTCCCAAAGTAGCCTGCAGTTTCCAGACAGCTGAACTGGTCTGCTGGCTCCCCGCTTATCAGAAGGGCGAGCCACAGCCAGCTTGCTGGCTCCCAGCTTGGTTTTGTTACCTCCCTTGCATTTGCTGGGGTGCTCGTAGCATCCTCTCATCAACTGCCTAAATTCGCTAACCTGGGAAGAAAACTACCCATTTTAGTTAGATCTTCTTCTCTGGATTAGTGAATTAGAGCAACAGACTTATATGAATGAATTACATACAGGGTGAAGCTGGAGAGAGAAAAGAACAGGTAGAAACAAAGATTGAAATCAAGACGGTCCCAGAAGGAAAGGCCTCTGAACAGGTACGGCAGTGCCAGTAGAGGGTGAAGGAGTGAGCAGCAGCCGAGCCTAGGAGCCGGGTACCAGCTGGAGGTTGGCCCTGTGGTTTGCCTGGGAGCAGGACGGGCAGAGGAGCTGGTGGAGCGGTAACGGGATGGCTGGGCTCCCGGCGCCTGCAGCCAGCCCCACCGTCTGAGGCTGAGTAAGATTCCTTGAGCTCTTGCGCCTCATCAAAACGGGGGCGCTTATCTTCCCGTCTGTAGATTTAGGAGGATAATCTCTTACCACTAAGTGTTGTGGAGTACAGTGCAGGTATATTTTTAAACAGCTTGTACGTCTCTCTGTTCAGTGCGTATTATAGTTGAATTCGAAGTCAGTAAATGCCTCCTCCTGTGCTAAAAGCCTGCGCTGTTGAAGAAACATCATCAGAAGATGATGGCCTACGCTTCACCTTGCACTGCAAATTGCTAAAAAAACAGTAAGGAAAAGCACGCTCCAAAGATGATGTCGCGGCCCATTAGTGTTTCCCCATGCTTCCTGGAATTCCTTATTGTGGAGGAGGAGAGCCAGGAGCATTCTCCCGTTACTGATAACCTAAATGCTGATCTTAAGGCAAACCAAGAGATCTGCCTCCAAAATAACTGGATTTAAGGGATGCGGCTTCCCCTGTGTCTGTGGTCTTTGCACTGAGGATGATTAGAGGAGAAAACCCTGAACTGCATCAAATGTTGGTCATAGCTTAAGACCGCTACCCCTGTTTTAAATGATGGTTTGGTGTACTGCTAAGCCGCCTTAGAGAATGGCATTGCTACCGAGCAACTTCAGTTTAACAACTTATCCCTCCTTGCACACAGGAAGAAGCAAGTGTGCCTATAAATTTGTGAGGTAAACGCACAGGCTGTTGCCATGAGGTACTGTATATGGTGCTGCTACTGATGGGTGGTGGTGTGGTGATGTTTAATTTTGGTTTAGTTCAGGTGCTCTCAGCAAATTACATGTCAGACTCAAAATACATTGTAAAACTATGAATGTTTTGAAATGTTTTCATTTTTTGCGCTTAGAGTACTCCCCATCGGAATGCTGGGAGATAGCATTGCTTTTTTTTTTTTTTTTTTAAAACAAAAACCTTTAAGGTAACAATAACCAGCTTTGAAGCTAAATTATGACTGGCCTTTTCTTAAGAATTTTAGTCATATGCAATGCTGACTAAGAGCTGAATGTTGATTTTTAGAGATTTCTGAGAGAGCCCTCCCGTGATGTGGGAAGCATTGGACCCTACCACTCCTCCCCTGAACTGATTTGTCTTGATTTCATGGGCTTTAGTGGAGAATATTAAATCGCTGCAAGGGTGTAACTGTGATATTGCTCTTCCTTCTGTGCCCAAGACTTGCTATCTCTGTCCCTTGAGTTTCCCTTGGTCTTATTTCTGGTTTTACAAAGCAGAAAACGTAGCATGAGGCAATTTAATGTTCGGGGTTTTTTTTTTCCTCCTCCTGAGGATGAATACGTAGAAGAGCCTGTGTTTTTAAGTACAAGGTCCTAGAACTGAGAGAATATAAGCAATTCAGTATAAGTGCTTTGGAGTATGCCATCTAGAATACAATTGCTCTCCTGGTGGTGGTGGTTTGCTACACAGGGCAAGCTAGAGATCTTTTCTCTTGACTTTGTACATACATATATATGTATCTGGGGTTTTGTGCTGTGAGCTGCTGTTTGCTCCCCAGACTGACACATCTGCTGGCCCTATTCATCTTGACCGACAGGTTCCATTGCTTCCTTTATGCTTTCGAGAAGGATGAAATCCAATCTTTACTTCCTCTGGCTTACTTTACGCCGCAGGTACGTGGGTTAGGTGTGAGCCACCAGGCTGGCAGTAGAAACTCTGTATTGCAAGCTTTTCTCTGCAATTCCAGGCCGATCCCTCCGGCTGTGTTTGCAGCCTATCTGCTGCAGGTCTCCAGCTACTTCTGTAGCTGCCCTGGCTTCTTGCAGACTGCTTCTGGAAAATAATAAGCAATTTACTGTATTAAAGGTAGTTTAAATCCATGAAATATTTCTAGCCCAATGGCTATCTCATCATCATTCTTCAGCCAGTTCTGGGCTGTTCTCTGCATCTTCTCATGTTCCTAAGAGTCCCTTAAGCTTAGGGGTGTTTTTCTGAGGAAGTGTATGCCCAAAGACAGGCAGTTAGCTTCTTGTGGTGGTTCCGTTCGAGTGACCATGGCCTCCCCAGGCCTCTTCACAGTCTAAAAGGCTGGAGGTGGTTATGCATTTTTGGTTGAGGC